CCGAATCCGCACCACGGCTTGGGAGTCGAGTTTATTGGAAAAGTAAAAAGTGTCCCCATAGAAAAACGAGCAAGCAGCGAACAAAACCGGTCCTAGCAGCCGGGGCGGCACAAACCCCACGGCGCGCCCGCTCAGTCCACGCTGGTTCCTCTGAAGAGCTCCGCCAGGCCCGGGAGGTCGGGGTCGATGAGGTCGGAGGGCAGGTCGCCGTCGTCGTTGGTGGCGTCTCTGTCTGCCCCCAAGGAGATGAGGTACCTGAGGCGTGAGGCACCGCTGGTTAAAGCCTGCCCGGCCACTCAGCAGCGCGGGGCTCAACCTCGGGGTCACCGGTTCGCTTTTTTCCAGGCAGAGGGAGGGAGGAGGAGGAGGAGGAAACCCGACCCCTTGGAAGCTGCGGCCGGATTTTCCAGCCTGTGTCGAGGTGCTGCCTACACCCCCGGAGCTGCCTTTGGGGGCTCGCTTGCTGGGGCCGACTGCAGGCCGGAGGGACTGGGGCGAAGCCTCTGCACCGTGTTCCGTCGTCTCACCTGGCTATGTCAGGGTACCCATCGCTGCAAGCCATGTGCAGAGGCGTCCAGCCAGTCTCATCGCGCTGCTGAATGTCGGCGCCGTGTTTGACCAGCAGCTTCACACATTCCAGGTTTCCAGACAGGACGGCTTCATGCAGAGCAGCCAGGCCTGGCAGGGTGGGAAGGCAGGGTCAAAGCTGTAGCCCCCCTGCAGCCTCCTCACACACAGGAGACCAGCCCACCACTGCCCTCTCACCTGAGGGGTGGATGGTGTCCAGGGAGACTTTCCGAGCCCGGATAAAGCGCCCCACCTGCTCCAGGTCGCCTTGGCGGATGTGGTCCAAGAAGAGAACATCGTTAGGGAACCTCACGCTGCGATCAGCCAGTAGCCGCCGCCGCCGCTGCCTGGGGCTGTAGCGAGCATAGCGGGCAGTTCTGCTGGGCATCCTGGGGGCTGGGGTGGCTATCTCTGTGGGGACCCGACGTCAGCAGGTGGGAGTGGGAAGCGCGCCCGCCAGACCCGATCCGTGTGCGGGCTCTCTGGCTTGACAGAACCTCAGTTCCAGCTTATATAGGTCTGGTGGGGCTATATAAAGCCGCTCAGTCATGCTTGCAGACGCGAGGGGCTGAAACCGAGCTGCTCCCCCCTCCCGCAGCCCAGGATCATGTTTAGTGGCTCAGCTTTCAGCACACCTGTCACTAGGTCCAGCCAAAGGGGTCAGATCCTTCCTGGCTACTACTCCCCATCCGCAGCTGGACCTACAAGGTGTCTTACAGAGGACAGGAGAAGGACTCGGGGACAGCCCGTGGGAAAAGCTGCGGGTGTGGGCTCAACGGCCTCAGGAGGGTCTGAGCTTGAAGGATGGCTCACCTGTCTGCCTGCTGGAGCCCCAGTGCCCTACCCATCTGAAGAGCGCTGATCCATTGTCGTTTAGGGGACCTCAGCACTGTCTGTTTCCCAGCATGTCTGTCTTAGCTTCCAGAAAGATTCCCAGAACTGCCTTCAGGGTATAGCATACTGTTGGGAACTGCTACTGCCCAAGCTAGAATCTCAGTCCTGCAGGCCAACACTACACAGTTTCCTAGAGACTTGTGTTGAAGGTGGCATTCAGTCTGTTCCTAACAGACCAGGGCACATTACAGGTGGAGAAAGGAAAGGACGCCATACGTTAGCTTCCTGCTGACTGTCTTCCAGCTGTCTTGTTTTCCCAACAGTTTCAGCCAAGGTCTCAGTGGTGCTTGGCTTGGGGACATGAGACTACCTAGTAGATGGAATTCAGGAATACAGCTAAGCTGGGCCAGAGGAGCCCAGAAACTTGGTTATGGAGCTGTGGATAGCCCAACTCTACAGCTTCCCCTGAATTCATAAAAGCTAATGGTTGACTCTATTAGGATTGCTATGACCAAGTAACACAGACCAGGGTCTCAACTCTCAAACAAGAATTTGCTCTCATGGTTGCAGAGGCTGACAGCCTGGGGTTCTGAGGGAGCCTCTGCTCAGGCTTTGCACCTTTGGAAGTCAGTGCAGTCCTTGATTCTCTGTCTTCTAAAAGCATTCTATTCTCCCGATCTCTACATTCATCTCTAATGGCCCCCATCTATTCCTGTGTCCAAGTCCTACCCTCCCCCATCTTTTTTTTTTTTTAAGCCACTGGCATTGAACTTTCTCTCTTTGGCTTTTCAAGACAAGGTGTCTCTGTATAACGATCTTGACTGTCCTGGAACTCACTTTGTAGACCAGGCTGGCCTCAAATTCCCATAGATCCACCTGCCTGTGCCTCCTGGGTACTGGGATTAAAGGCATGGGCCACCACTACCTGGCTGAACTCCCTTTTAAACTGTATGTAAATCAGGCAAACTCCTGAGCACCCATCAGTTCCCAAGTGCTGGGTTTACAGGTGTATGCCACCACACTGAGCTACCCCATTAAAATTTTATTTTTATTTTTCCTCAGGGAAGGTGGTGGTTGTTTCCCAGTTAACCAGCCTTGAACCCATAATTCTCTCTCAGCCTCCTCCAAAAAAGTGCTGGCATTGCAGGCATGTGCCATCACATCTGGCTCAGATTTCTCTCTATAAAGACACCATCCATAGATGCTCTGAGGGTACGCCTCGCCTTCTCCATTCATACTAACAATGACCCTATTTCCAAAAAAGTCACACTCAAAAGTACTGGGAGCTAGGACCTGAATTTGGGAGGCACAACCTACTGTACTGATGAGACTCGTAGGTGTCACGGGAGGCCCAGAACTGGGCATCTCCTTGGCAGGCTGGGGATCTGGGGAGGCCATGTGGCCAGCAGCAGGCCTTACATCACCTGGCTGCCTTCCAGCCATCATCAAGCCAACATGTTACGCACCCTGTAGGTGTAAAGCCGAGGTCCACTGGCTGCAAGACACTGAATGAGAACTCCCTGCCTGGCAGGGGTGTTTCCATATCCCTCGGTGCTCAGAGGCTGTTCCCTGAGTTTGAATACCCCAGAAACGGACAGACGCTGAGAGAACCTCCTGCGGGTGGTTCTGTGACCCTGCATCTACCTCTAGGCCTCAGTTCTAAGTCCTGGTCACTTGGGAGGAGTTGGGTATCATGTCTTCTAACTTATTTACCTCAAGTGGGGAAACTAAACGTTCTGCATTGTATCTCGGTGACAGAATCACACACACACGTTTAGATGTGATCATTGTCTTCCCTTGTGCTGTGGAAAGTTTGGTCCACACTCCCAGCTCAGAGGATGATATGAATGCATGTGGATGAAGGCATTACCAACAGTGCAGCAGGGAGGACCTCCACTTCCTTCCATCAGTGAATGGCCTCTAATGACACAAGGTCTGGGCACATTGAGCATGCCAGGCCCCTGGCCATTTAGAGCACAGACATGTAGTTGGATGTTTCTCTCCCACAGCAGAGGTTGTTGAGTTTAGGGTTTCTGTTTGAGTCAGAGTCTAGTCCCCAAAGCCTTCTGTACAGTGTTCCTGGGAATTGTGTGTTCTGAGCTGAGGTCTCTGCCTGGTATACCTAGACTTTCAGCAGGAGCCACAATAAACTGTCTAAGTCTCTTATGGTGGTTCATGTTAGAACAAAGCCTGGAATTACATACCTCTGTCCCTGATTCCCTCAGCCAGTATGGACTTATAAAGCAACTAGTCTGTGAGGTTTAGAATTTCTACTATTTTGGAGAATGGACCAAAACATTTACACAACGCTGGGGTGGTGACAATTTCTGTAATTCCAGCACTTGGGAGATAGAGGCAAGAAGTTCAAGGCTCAAAAAAAAAAAAAAATATGCAAAGGTTTCCCTCCAATATTTTGTAGCTCTCAAGCTTTCAGTCTTCTTGACAGCAGGACCATGGTGGGGCACACCTTTAGTCCCAGTACTCAGGAGGCAGAGGCAGAGGCAGGTGGATCTCTGTGAGTTCGAGGCCAGCCTCCAGAGGGAGTGCCAGGACAGCCAGAGCTACACAGGGAAATCCTGTCTCAAAACAAAACAAAAAATCAATTCCCTTGCCTGAGCTTCCTGAGCATTGGGATTACAGGCTTGTATAATTAAACCCAATTCCAATTTACAAAAGTTCAGACCTGGGAACACAATTCTGAGTAAAGCATTGCCTAGCAAGACAGCCAGTTGCTGTCTCAAAAGCAACAGCAGCAACCACAAAGAGTTCCATACAAGTCTGGCATATTAACACAAACCCATGATCACAGCACTCTGGAGGCTAAGGCAGAGGCTAAGATGGTTTGCCATGAATCCAAAGCCAATCTGAGCTACATAGTGAGTTCAAGGCCAGCAGGGGTAACACAAGCCTAAATTAAGCCAAACCAAAAGGAGGAGGAGGAGAAAGTCTGACGATGCTGCCACCAGCAGTGACATGTACCCAGTGCCTGGGGGCTGTTAGGGTTAGGTAATCTAGAAGTATTCCGAATGATCAGTCTATGATTAAACTTCAAAGCCTGAAGACCCCTTAGAGCAGAACTGTTTTAAAGTTCCAAGCCGATGACTTCTGGATACCTGGGGAGAATTGGGAAATTCCAGTCTGCTAAACCTTCACTACTGCCCCCAAATGCCTTCAGTTTTACTAATCCACTAATCCTAGGCACAGAGGTTTTAGACAGCACCCTGTAGCTGCCCTGCACAGCCTGGCTCTAGAATGCTCCATCAGCTGCCTCTGCAAAAGGGGAAAGATATCCGTGAGTCATGTTCTTCTCAGGAGCGCGTGACAGCGGCTGTCTGGTGTGAGCTTTCTTATCCAGAGACCAAGTCCCTGCACAGCTGGGCAGTGGGTCAGGGCTCTCTCTGGGGCAGGATGTACAGCATACCTTTTTAGCTGAGACTGGAAACTATCTGCTCACAGCCCTGCTGGTTTTCCTTCCCTGGAAGCCCCGTGTCTTCCCTTAATGGCATGGCAGCTGCAGAACCTTGATGCACATTTTGGGGACAGAATTTATACACACACACACATGCCCATCAAACTCCAAAGTGACTATGCCCATTTTAGAGTAATCATGGTCCATTGTGTCAGCAGGTCCCCGCTGAAGCTTCTGAAGCGGCAGTAGCTGGAAACCAGCCCTGTAAAGTCACCAAGAGCCAGTGAAGGCAATGCAAGTGGACCACTGACCTAATTGCTGAATCAAAAGTAACAGCATCAGAATAACTACCTGGGCAATCTGTGCTGCTTGAGGAGGTGACAGAGGGTCCTCCCCCTGTCCTGTGTGCCAGTTCAGATAGTGGCATCCCTGGGCTTGTATGAACTTTTATGGAAGGATGAGGTAGCCATGGAGAAGATGACCACATCCCACAACCCTAGACCTGGGAGATAATCATACAGTAAGTCCTTCTGTCCATCTTAACAGTTGGGTTTGGTACAATGGTTATAAATAAGCAGGAGGGCAGTTAGCCTTGGTGATGTGAAGATGTCTTGCTCAGGACATCTTCAGAAAGGGTGCGTGCGTGAGTATGTATGAAGAAACACAGGCTCCTAAGAATACAGGTAAGGCCATGGACTGTCTGAACGCAGGCAGCTTGCAGCATTACTGTCAGGTCCCTGTGACCATGCTGAGCCCTGTGACCCTTTGGCCATGTAAGCCTCTACTCCTACCCTGAGACTGACACTGCAGTGCTCCCAAAGGTGTCCATACCTGAGGGGAAGCCTGAGAAAGCCAGCCTCAGGAGTGTCACTATCCCCGTTGCACATGAGGCGACAGATAGCTTTGACTCTGAGAAGTTTCTCAGAGCTGAGTCTTCTTTATAATTCATTTTATTTTGTATTCATTGGTGTTTGCCTGCATGTATGTCTGTGAGGGTGTTGAATCCTTTGGAGCTGAAGTTACAGTTTTGAGATGCTATGTGTGTTTTGGGAAGTGAACCTGGGTCCTCTGGAAGAGTGGTGAGATAGCTCTAAACTGCTGAGCCATCTCTCCAGTCCCTTGAACTTGGTCTTTAAACTGAACTTTTTTTGAAGTTTCACGTA